ACTACCAAGTTCAAGTCCACCCATCCCTCAATGCTCCTGCCCCAACCCAAACCTAGAAGTCATGCTTAATTATTCCCTATCCCTCACATTGCACATCCAACCCATCTGTCTCCAAAATATTTCCACTACCAGGACCCTAGTCCCAGGCACCTTCAGAACTCCCTGGTTAAGCCCCACTGGTCTCCCTGCCTCCTCTTTTGTCCCTGTGATCCATCATCCATGCAGTAGCCTGAATGATTTTTCTCAACTATAAATCCGATCCTGTCCCTCCACAGCTTAAAACCTTCATTACACTTGGAGTGTGACCCGATGTCCTTACCAGAGCCTACACAACCCTGCCTGCTACCCCTTGCTCAGACCTTTCTCTCCTCTCGTGACCCGATGTCCTTACCAGAGCCTACACAACCCTGCCTGCTACCCCTTGCTCAGACCTTTCTCTCCTCTCGACCCCTCAGCCACACTGGCCTTGTTTCTTATCCTCAACTCACTAAGCTCATACCTATCTCAGATGCTGCACGTGCTATTCCTTCTACTCAAAGTCTCTCCCTCCCAAAATGCTGAAGGGCTGCCCTCTTGTCATTAACATATTGGCTGAAATGTCACCTCTTCTGAGAGGCCTTCCCCAACCACCCCAGTGAAAGCCATGCCACATCCCGACCCCTACTCTCTACCACACTATCCTATTTTATCTTCCTTGTAGCACTTAGTAGCTACAATTTTCTTATTTGTCTACTTGCTTATTTTGTCTCCCCTGAACTACAATATAAGCTCTGCTATTCTTGTTCACTATTGCACTCCCAGTGTCTAGAACAGTGCTAGGCATACAGTAAGCTTTCATTCAACATTTGGGGAACAACTGGTTCAAAAGACAACAGTGTGCTCCCCTGGTCCTCAAAACAGTGATTCTACTCCTTCTCCCCAAATTTGAGATTAGAAGTTTGTTTACTCATCCATTCAATCATTCATTCATTCACTCAATTCAAATCAACAATTGACCACAGGACACCTGAGAAGGTAGCACAGTGAACATGCAACCAGAATGACCTGTTTCATAGTTCAAAACAATATTTTTTTTATGTGACGCTTTATAGAGGCACTTTCAACTTAGGCCAAATGTCAGGTCCCTTTGTAGTTCCATCTTAGATTTACACACAAGAGGTTACACGGCTTCCCCAAGGTCACATAATGAAAACTCAGCACCCAGTACCTCAAGACAAAACCAAAGACCTAAGAAAAGTATTTGCAAGTGCCCAAACCCTTTTATTTACCATCCATAGTCATTTGTACAAAATAATAAAAACCAGAGAGTAAATGTGGCTGTTCAAAAATTTCACCTCCATTTTCTTCACTGTTTCTAATCTTACTACCTAACAGCAGGTCCTGTCAAATGACGGAACATTTTCAACTTAAAGAGCACTGTTCTCAGGTTACGGAGAATTAATGGTACCCTGGGCCACAGGCTGAATCTTGATGACAAAGGGAAGCAGTATAGTGCAGGGGCTGGAATCTCAGGCTTTGGAACAGAAAGGTGCAGACTCCAATCACATCTGCTAGCGATAAGGCCCTAGGCAAGTTTATTTTATTTTACTTAACAATTATATGCGCTTATGAAATGTAGGCAGGACTCTAAGTAGTTTGCAACTATATGAATATTAGATAAGTCAGATGTACTATTATTATCCATATCTTACAGGTGAGGAAATAGGCACAGGGAGATGAAGTAATCTGCCCAAAGTCATAGCTACTGAGTATTAAAGTTAGCAATCAAATAAAGTAGGGTGGTGCAAAATTCCATGTTCTTAACCATTACACTAGTTTCTGCTCTAATCCTGTTTCTTCATCTATAAGACAGGGCCAATAGGTCTGCCTTATCTCGCAGAGTCATGTGAGATTACTGGCACACAGTAAGGTAAATGTTAGCTACTCTTAGTGATAGTAGTAATTGCCATCATTCTATTATCTGTCTTTACCTTTGGTCCAGCCAAGAGCAGGAGAAAAATATTTTGACTGAGAAAGATCTTCAAGGCTCTCCACAGAATACATTAGAATATAGTGGAAGCTCCATGAGAATAGAAATTGTCTGCTTTGCTTATCACTATATCTGAGGCAAGTAGTGGGTGCTCAGTAAATATGGGGTGAATGAGGCAGGAAAAATGTTTATGCATGGACAGGGTTCTACAGGTACAACAACTAAGGTAGTACCATCACATCTCAAATGGAGCTAAACAAAAGAGGTAAATTTACAAGGTTTTCAGGGGACAATGTTAGTTGGCCATTACTTAAGACAGTGTGGCTACTGGGAGGCAGTGTGGCATAATGCTGTTCATTCATCTTAGCTAAATGAACAAACAAGGAGACATGAATTTTAATCCTGACTCTGCTACTGGAAGCCACTCAGGCTCCCAAGGTCTTGGATTGTCAAGAGAAAGTTGGGCCAAGTTCATAAACAAATATATTCTACTTTCTCAGGACTTTATAACAATCATCATAACAATCTGAGTGGAAGCCAACCACCAAGAAGTCAATAAACATTTGTCAATGCAGGTGATCCCCAACTCAAAGATGAGGAAACTAAGATACAGAAGTTAACTTGCTCAAAGTAACAGGGTCAGGGCATATAGCCCAGATCTCTTTCTATACTGTACTAACACTCATGCTTTCCAAGATCTTTTTTCAGTTCAAAAATACTGTGATATTAGTCATCTCATCCAAGTGCAATAAACCTGTAATCATTTATCTTATCAAAAATCTTGCCTGACTTCACTACATCATGGCACTGCAGGATCAGGAAGAAACAACTACAGTATCTCCCCATTGTTAACCTGGAAAATCAAATAACCTGAAGAGATAATTAGGGAAAATTCTTTGTCTTTACTCAGAATTGAGAAATCAGATAAATGATTATTTCACTTTAACCATAAGGTTTAAACTTAAGCAAAGTGATTTTAAAAAGGAAAACTTCTAGTAACGAATGCTTCCTGAGAGTACAGCACAGAACTTTTAAAATTCTATAATCAAAGTTGTGCCACTTGATTCAAAGTAGATTCACAAAGTTAAATGTAAATGGTTATCAAAGAATGTCTACAAATGCTTGCTTTATTATTAACAAAATACATGCTTGACATTGAACCTTTAAGTATAACTCCTTCCAAGCATTGTCAAGTTAGAAATGAAAAATACATCTGAGAGTCACAGTCAATTTTCTAGATGGTTCATAACAGGAAAGTCAAGGTCAAACTGTGTGTCTCTTTACCCTCCCACCTAGTAATTGAACAGCAACTAATGGTGAGCCCAAAATAGTCCATTCTAGTATTCTCACAAATACAAATGTTAGCTCAAAGATCACACTCTGGCTCAGAAAGTTCTGTGAGGACAGGCTGACATGAACAAGGAAAACAGAGGGCCTATAAGTAAGGCAGGTGCTCAGGCCACTTTTGTGACAGCAGTTAACTTTCACCTACTTTCATTATCTATAAAATAAAAATAATCATCTCACCAGATGATTATAACTCAAAGTATTGTATAATAAAAAATTAAAAGTCTTTCAATCTTGTGCAAAGGTAAGAGAGAGACTTAGTGTTACTACTATTTACTACATCTGGGGTCGGAAGACAACCCCCCACCCCCTCAGTCTTGACTATGTATTCCGCAGGATCCTCAAAAGATGCAACAGGATTCTAGTTTCTTTTCCAGACTCCAGGCCTGGCAATTGTAGATGCACCTGGCTAGCAAGTCTCTGCTGCTGAGAAATGAGAAGTGAGGCCTTTAGGCGCTGGGCCCAGCGGGCTCAACAACGACCACATCCCCCAGTCACCTTGTCTTCACCTTGAGGAATGGGAAGAAACCCTACGGGGAAGAGGAGTGCAGTCCTCAAAAAGGAGAAAGTGCCTCCATCCACTCTTCACCCGGCCGCTGCTGCTTGGACCCACGCTTCCCGCGGGGCGGAGACAGCGCTGGGAGAGCTGACAGAGTCGGGGACGCCTTGACCTCGGGCGCTGGAGGATCGGGCACGGCGCTGGGCCCACAATCGGGACAGGTACACAAAGTCACCGTAGATCGGGCCCGCCTAGCCTCGCCGCGCCCACAGCCGCAAGCACAGTCGGAGGCACCCCGCCCCCGTGAACCCAGAGGGCCCTGAGCTCGCTCACCTGTAGCCGGGTCACCAGGAGGCTGTAGGGCGCCATTTTGTGCACTGACAAAGATGAGGTCGCATGAAAGTGACGTGAGAAACAGTCTATTTAAAGCCCTCGGACGGGGGCGTGGTCTAAAGAGGCGTCATGGCAAAGGCGGGGCCTCCGCAGGAATGCCGGAGCCCTGCGAACGCAGGGGGCGGGGCTCCCGTGTTAAGAACCGACCTAGAAGAGGAAAAAGGTGAATGAAAACACGAAATGGTGAACCGTATATGCGGGAAACAAGATTGCAATATGCTTAAATATAAGTTGTGTTTAGAAAAGGAGAAAGTTCTGGGATTTGTTATACTCTAAGCTCCATTAAGATACGTTGATATGACTTGATATTTTTGATCAGTTAAAGAGATATCATGTCAATGTATGGAAAGTTTTTGTTCATGTATTTTTTTTTATTGTTGGTTTCAGGTGTACAGAACAATACTCTAGTTATCCTTTTCACCCTTTGCACAGAAACAACCCAGTTCATGTATTATTTTGATCCAGTTTTCTGTGGCACTTGGTGCAATAAACCTTTTGAGTTTATCTTGAAAAAAAACACGAAAGTAAATACCCTCACAAAGATGTCTTATCGAAGTGCAAGTTTCATCTTTATATTTTGCAATTTGTCTCTTCCATCCAAATCTGGGAAAGGTATTTTTTTATGACTCTCACGCACCTGCCAGGACGTTATTCCCTAAAGGAAACTCGTCTTTGGAACGCAAGGGTTTTTGATCACGCGAGCAAGAGCGGGGCTTGGTGCAAAGATTGTGAACGCTGATGGAAAACTAGAGGACCAATCACGGTGACAAGGAGGCAGGTACAATGGGGGTTAAAGGTCGGGCGGAAGTTCCCGGAGCTTCCGGTGGCTGCTGGAGTGCGAGCTATGGCTAAACATCACCCGGACTTGATCTTTTGCCGCAAGCAGGCTGGTGTTGGTGAGATGGCGTCCATGCGCGCGGCGCTTTGGGTGAGGGTGGTCTTAGGAACAGGGGAGTCGGAGGTTCCCATCTCTTCCTAGGGTCTTGCTTCGGAGGTGCCACGTTTCCCGCCTCACGGTCCGTAGTGTAGGAGCGCGCGGGTTTTGTGGCCTATGATGAAAACAAGGCTGTGGCGCGCGTGCTGGGAGCCGAAGGCGGGCAGCCGGGTTGGGGTCCGGAGAAACGTCTACATTGCCCAGGACCTGGGAGGGGCTGTAGGAGGGTGTGGGTTTGGGAAGTTTATAAGGATATGACGGATGACATCGCTTAGGGCTCACTGTAGTCCCCGCTCCTGTCCCCACCCCAAGCTAGAGGATGTTTTTCTGTCTTCGTCAAAACCTTAATTCTAACTGTGCTCTTTGCTTTGCAGCTATCGGAAGACTCTGTGAAAAATGTGAGTGGAACACGCCCTCCAGAACACTCCACCACCCTCCCTCCCAGTTTCTGTGGAATCAGCAAATGGGCATTTGCTGTGGGGCCCCACAGGGCTTTGAGTCAGTGTGCCTGGAAGCATGTAAACAGTGAATGCCAGACTGCAACCAAAGGCCCCCTCCACCTCCCCACTCCAACTCGCTTACTTTAGACACTGTGTTTAAGTTTTGAGAAAATCTCTAGCTTTGGACAGGAAGTAGCATGACCTGGTCGCCCAACAGTTTTTGCCAGTAATTATGTAGACTTATCATGTACCCAGTGCTGTTCTAAGCCCTTTACATGTTAATTGATTAAGCTTTCCTATGTGTTGCTGGATGGACACTAAGTAAGCCGAGTTTTGTGATGCCAAAGTAGGGGGCCTCCAAATCACTGTCGGAAGGAGACTGGTGTGTTTCCCCATAGCAGGAGGAGGGCAAAGGACTTGAGGTTCTTGTAAGTGGGCATAACTCCATTCTCTTTTCCTCACAGGTGATGGCAAGTGTGTGATCTGTGACTCCTATGTGCGTCCCTGCACCCTGGTGCGCATATGTGATGAGTGTAACTATGGCTCCTATCAGGGGCGCTGTGTGATCTGTGGAGGCCCCGGTGTCTCCGATGCCTATTATTGTAAGGAGTGCACCATTCAGGAGAAGGATGTGAGTATAGTCTAAGCTTTCCATTTGATCTTTCCTTTTATTTAAAAACTCTTTGCCATCCATGGCAAACTCTTATGATCTATGGAGATGAGCATGTTCAGCTAGTCACCTAGGTTATAATTTTTTCAAGTTCTGTGAGTCCAACTGGGTGTAGTCCATTAAAAGGCAGTTATTTTCCATCCAGGGCAAAACTGCAAGAGAAGCAAATTCTGTCAACACTAGCAATTTGGAGAACCCTCTCTCTGTTCCTTTGATGTCTCTCTGATTATTTTTATTCAGAAACAACATCCTATATTTTGTAAGTCCTAGCACAGTGCGTGGTTTGTAATGGCTACTCAGTAATTCTCTTTACTGTCATTAAGAACTGTTTGGGTGGATGTGGTGACATTTGAATTTGGGGACATTCAGGTCGATTTCAGCTTTAAGCAGCTAAAGAATGCCTTTGGTTTGGTATTATAGAATTGATTCTCTCACATGACATTTTTGCCCTTTGACACTATGTGGTGGCAGTGGCTAATTATTCGACTCCTTGAGCTTGATAGAGGGCTTATAGGTCTATATGAAGGATGAGTTTTACCATTTTTCCTTAGCAGATTTCTTGGGGGGACAGATTCCATGAATCAGCTTGTTTTCTTCTTATGACACAATAAAACAAAGTGTGATACAGTACCAGTAGGCTAGTAGACAGTATCTGGTTACCTAATTGAGGATAAGGCAAAAGATATATAAATCTTAATATTCCCATGAGTCAAGAGTAGGTAGGTTATAGATGTTGTCTCCCTTACTCTTCACAATAATTTTGTTAAATAGGTATTCTTATTATCCTCATCTTACAGCCCCTCACCCAGCTAACAAGTGGCAAGCGCAGACCGACTAAACCGAGTGGTGTGCTCATTACACCGAGTTGTCCTTTTGAAAATCTTTTTGGGAGGATGCGTCCATGTTGAGGAGTAATAACCCAGCCACCTTAGCAGGATGCATTTAGATCCTGTCTAACCCCAGTAAGTGGGACTTACCAAGGCAGATAAAACTGTTTCTTAAACTATTAAGTCTTCTGTTATTTAGGGAGATGAGACGGGCCATAGGTAAAAGTATGAAAAACATAATTTGAGCTTTCTCCTGACCTAAACTCTGATTTGCACTTACTTTTTTTTTTTTTTTAACATTTTATTGGGGAATTGGGGAAGGCGAACAGCCAAGTTGTTGTCCTTCAGTCTTAGTTGTGGAGGGCTGTCAAATCATATCATGCTTGATTTGATCCACCAGCTAGGTGACACTCTTTTAGAGAAGGAGCCTTGGTTTGTGTAGTTATATCTCCTTTTCCCCACTTCTTGGTGTAGTTCTTGGCATGCAGTGTAAGCATGGGACACATTTTTGGTGCTGACCCTATAAGTCATCCATAGACATTCCCCCTACAGAGTGCCTGGTATATAGTAGGTGCTTGGTAATTATTTATAGTGTGTAAGCAGTGAAACCATGGTAAAATGACAGCAGTGAAAAGAAAGTACAAATAATTCTTAAACTAGCCAAAGAGTCTATGAAGGACATTTTTTTGAACTTCGACTTGGCAGTGGCTAGAGTTCTTATCTGGCATAAGCTTGCAACCAGAGAGTGCTTAATAAATGTTAATTGCTGTCTGACTCGTCTGCATGTGGCGTGTGACCTGATACCTTTGGATCCTTGTGCCTCATTCTGTCTCTGAGCATTATTCTAGACATCACTTCCCCTCCTTCACATTATACAGGAATGTTCTGGGGATATCTGAGAAGGCACCTAGCTCACATTTACTCGGCACTAGTTTCCAAGGAACACAAAGCAGTCCAGTGAAATGATCCAGCCTCTCAGCCTTACAGATCACCAAGAAGATTAAGTGCCTATAGACTTTCCTATGCAGAAATCTTCCCACAACCAAAGCCCTGTTATTGTTCTCTTCCTGCAGCGTTCATCTTTTTTTTTTTTTCTTTTTTTTTTTAAACTGAGCCATCCTGCCACCTGTTAGCAGCTCAGCTAGGCTGGGAATCAAACCGGCGACCCTGTTGCTCAGAGCTCACACTTTTGAGTGAACTCTTAACCAACAGAGCCACTCGGCCGGCCCTCGTTTATCATTTTTAAAGGCAGTAGACCAATAAACAGCTGGGTGTTCTCTAGAGTGTTTCAAAGCTTCAGGAATACACAGGGATAATATCTGTGGGCATTGCTGCCAGAGGATCGATTTGCAGTTTTTTCTAGTGCAGCATCATCTCAAACCCCCTTTAACTCTTGATTATTTTACCCCTTTACTTGCCGTTTTTCTCAGTTGTCCCAACCAGAACACAAAAATATCAACTAATATTTATGGAGCTCATGCTATGTGCTAGGTACTATGCTGAACAATTTTCTAAAAATGCCGTATGATAAAGATGAGAAAATCAGGCTCAGAGATGTTAAGCAACTTGGCTCAAGGTCACATGGCTACTAATAATTGGCAGATCCAGAACGAGAACCCAGGTCTGTCTAACTCAGTGTTTCTCAACATTTTTGTTTTTTCATTATTTCCCCCCTAAAGAGAATAGTTACATTTTTAGATTAAATTTAACATTTTCTTCCTAATGAGAATTAAATACCAAGGAATAAGATATTGTTGGGTAAGGATAAGCTTTAGGTCACAAACCACTATACTATCAAAGATGTTTTTATCCCCTTTGAGGATGCATAGCCTAACTCAAAGCACTTAACTCTCATCACCTCACTGTATGGTTAAGGATATGCCTCTTGCTATTTCTACCATTCTCTTCTCCCCATTTCAATGAACAGTGGAGCAGTTAGATAGATGCGAAAGACATTTGATACTTTTCAAAGTTAATTCACAAATTTATCATTCTCTTTAACTGCCTAAACCATTGGAAAGTTTTGGTTCTTGCCTCTGGGAAGCCCTGTTAAAAGAAACACCAGACTAGAAGGCAGAAAGCCCATGTTCAAGTCTTGGCTTCGCTGGTAACATGCTGTGTGTGCCGCATGGATGTGTTTACTGTGAACTTAAAGGTCTTTAAAAATAAAAGTTTCAGATAGAAAATGTGATACTACTCTTAGGTCCCAAACCAGTGTTCAGTCTGGTGTTTACATCATTGGTATTCATTAGACAATTGCTAAAAGAATGAACACCATTTAACCTTCCAGTTTCTGTTAATAAAGCCAGTCTTGCCACTGGCACCTATTCAGAATTCTTTGCTACTATTTGTAAGAAAGGGAGATGTGGACTCATTTTCAATAGTTGTGTCTTTCTGATCGTAACAATTTTTAAATGACCTTTTCCTGCCGTTTCAGTTCTACAAAGATTTCCCTTTAGTATGTCATATTTCAGTATGTGATTAGTGTTGGTTTGAAAGTTTTCCTTGGAAGTACTGGGTTTTCAGCGCTGGTATAGAGTAATTTTTGTAGCTAGCTTTCCTGCTGTAGAACAGACTGGGCACACAGCACTGGAAACCCAGAAGCACCAAGTTCTCCTTGGTGGTTGCTACCACCAGGCCCAGCTTAGGGTTTTGGTGATGTGTGAGGGGCATGTATAGTATAATGGAAACAAGCCCTTGGCCATCTAACATTTCCTTTTTTGTGAAATTTTAGAAATTAAGTGGGCATAAAACATTTACCGATGACACTCCATTCAAGCCACAGCTGCCTAAAATAAAAGCTTTAATGGGAAATATGTCCTCTGGGAGGACTGAGAGACAGTGAAATTTTTAGTGTTCACACATACAATTGTTAAAAGAGCTACTGCCATGAGGCAGACATTGCAGGTATTTTTAAAATACCTTCTAGCTCACCTCACAGATATCTTCCTGTACCATCCCTCTAAGGTTTCTTAACAGTCCTTCCATCTTTCTTTCCATGCTCTCTACTCACAGGCATATCCAACAAAAGCCAACCAGTTCTAGTTGCACATCCTCACCTCTTACACGTGGGTAGAATTTGGGAACAGCCACAAGACCCATGGGAGATGTATAGAAAATAAAAAACGGGAGGCTAGGCAAGAAAACAGGAAACCTGTGAGTCGGTGAGCGAAAATGCCATAAAGCCAAAGATCTAAAAATCCAATGCATCGGTTTTCCAACTTTTCTTTTTTAATATGAAGAGTCCTAGCTTCAAACAATACCTCATACAGAAGCTGTGTGTATGTGTGTTTGAAGCATTATGAAATTGCTGATAATTTGGTTTTTGCAATTTCTTTTAACTTACTAAGAGTTGACTGTATGCCATGCACTGTTCTAAGTATAGTTATTGATTCTTAGTTCCAGGAGGTAAGATCTGCCATTGGAATAATTTTATAAGTATCTAAACAGAGATACAGGGAGGTTGATAACTTATCCGAATTCAGGTAGCGTAGCTCCAGTGCCTACCATTTTAACCTAAGCTATGAGTGTGAATGGAGCTGCACAGATTGGGGGTGGCACCTCTCAGGACTTTCTAGGGCTCCATACATAACAGTTTTTTGTTTGTTTGTTTTTTTGTTTTTAGCTGAGCCATCCTGCCACCTGTTGGCAGCTCAGCGGAAGCTCACCTCGGGCCGGGAATCGAACCACTATTGCTCAGAGCTCAAACTCTTGAGCGAGCTCTTAACCAACTGAGCCACTCAGCCGGCCCACATAACAGTTTTTAATTGACTAGTCCCCTTATTTTACAGTTGAGGAATATGAGTCCAAAGAGAAGTGACTTGCCCACAGTCGTACAAGTCAGTAAGGCACCCTAAGCCTAAACAGGCTAGCATCATACCACAAAATTTCATAGCATCCCCAAAGGGCTTAGAGGACTGTTGTGTTTAATATCAGGCTAGCTTGGCCCAAGAAGAGGCAGCTGTTACCTCATTTGTACCAGGACTTTCAATACAGATTACATGGCTTACTGGAGTTCACCTAGCAAGCCCCTGGTAGGGCCAGGCCCATAGCCTGGCTGGCTCCCTCAGCACACCAAATTCCACAGATGATAATTCTCAGTGTAATACCTGGTATATATTTCCTAGACAATGAAATGTTTTTGTTGGCTTTGTGCGTTTTCAGAGATTTTTGTGCAGTGTTGATATCAGTCCCTGAAAAGAAAAATCAACTGAATTAGAAATGAGATGTCTAATTCAAATTCCATAGCCCAACGGCACAGGAAGCAACCTTCTTTGACATAGATATTTAATCAAATCTTAAGACATAAAGATTTTTTTCCAGTAGCAACTCCCCCAGTTTTCCTCCCATCATCCCAGATCAACTGATGGAGTCATCATTTCTGCAGAATACAGCTTCCCAGGGGCTTCATTGAAACCACTCAAGCTCACAAAATGGCCGGGGGGGGGGGGGGGGGGGGGGTTCAGGCGTGTCATTACAAATCAGAGTAGGGACCATCGGCAGCCAGCCAGCTAGCACAGGAGCACTCTTCCCCCAAGATTATGTGTCAAATTAAATGAATTAATAAGGACACATCAAACCCAGTATTCTCCTATGGTATTTAAATGGTAAGGTACTATTTCCTAAAGTCTTCAGAATTTTTTTTTTCACTTGATGGTATTCTCTTCTTTCTTGGGATAGTGGAACAGAGCTTGATCTGAAGATAATAACCGTTTCTTGCCTTTCACATGAAACCCTTTGGACAGCTTAAGAGTTTTAGATTCTACCTCAGCCTTATATTAGCAACAGAAGTGGGCTGAGAATCCAACATTGTAAATGCAGGCCACTGGATTGAGGGTAGACAGGCTCTGGGTGCAGTCTAGGTTCTTGGTGATGGATCAAATAGGATAACTAAACTGGTACAATGAATGGCTAGACCATTAATCCAAAAGTTATTTTTATCTTAAGCCCTCTCAATTTATGCCCAGAGATTTTGAACAACTTCTCTATTCTGTTTTCCAGAGAGATGGTTGCCCGAAGATTGTCAATTTGGGGAGCTCTAAGACAGATCTCTTCTATGAACGCAAGAAATACGGCTTCAAAAAGAGGTGATTGGTGGGCGGCATCTTCCTCCCTCCATCAAGCTGCTGCAGCTGCCAGAAAAGACACCTGCTGCCAACAGAAAGGGAGTGGAGTGCAGGACCACCCGGTCGCCTGTAGTACACTGTGCCTTCAACCCCTCCTCTCCTCTCACCCAGACAATGTGGTAGGAATGGAAAAGGATGCTTCTCAGAGCACTCGGGCAGACCGTAGCAGAGAAAAAAATGATAGATTATTTCATGGTTTGTCTTGAATTCAAAAAGCAAGAGTCTGTTTTCCACGTTGATAAGTTCTCTTGACACCAGGAGCTTCTGAAACAGGAATAATACCATTTCCATCTTCTAATTGAGGAGTTGGCTGACACTACCCACAGTGAGAAACGTGTTCTTACGGCAGCTCCAATGGCAGTGGCCTCGACGAAACATCTGCAGTGTGGTAGGGAGCTCTCAGAACAATAAATGTGGGCGTTTAATCCTGTAACACTTACCAGGTGGTGCTGGTTCATGTTGTTTCTCTTTTAAGAAATTGGAAACCCTTTCTGTTGCTATTGTATTAATAAAGCAGGTGTTTATTTTCTGGTAGTCAGTCACTGTCCCAATTTAAGTTTTAACTCGAGGAATTTATTTTAGCCATCCAGGAATTTGTGATTCAAAATAGAGGAATTAGGATTCACCAAGCACCTCATCCTCTTATTACTACTGGAAGGAATTCAAAACCATCCATGCCTTTCATTATTGGTAAACCAAAGTCATTTTTAGAAGCTTACTTTTTTCTTCCTGTCCAACTTTAATTTTGAACTGAAGAGATAGCTTCCAATAATGGGGAAGGGAGTGAGACAAAATGTATTCACATCAGTGAGTTAGGAGAACTGAACTTGGTGGATTCATAAAATACATATATAATCACATTAAGGATTTTTAAAAGTAAATTGACAGACTAAGGGCAATTTTACCCTAACTCAACTATCTGTACTTTGTGCCCACTAGAGGTGATAGGAGGGTATCCGGAAGAGGTAACTCAGTCATCATTTGAGACATCTAGACAATCAAGTAGGTGTTTTGACACTATGGATTTGAAAAAGGTTTGCGAGTCCTGAGGATCCAGGGACTTGGCCCAAGGTTATGCTGCAACTTCCTGGCAAAGCCAAGAAAGAAATGAGTCTTCTGACTTGTCAGGGTTTCGGTTTGGAACAAAACTCTTATTTGTGATGTATTGAGTATCCAAAATTGAATTAAGATAATCCCTGCCTTCAGGAATTTAATAAAGGAGCCTGTCAGAAACAGATAGTTCCAGTATAACCCAGAAGATGCACAAAGGAAGGGGTTTTTTTTGCCCAGCTTGGCACCTCAGGAAGGTTAGGGGAAGGTCATGGCCACAGGGCTAAAGATAATCCTTAAGGCTCCCCTATCTCATCTGCCACCCCCCTTCCTTGTTTTCCAGCCTCAGCGCTTTTTACCTGTAATTCCTCTCTCATGCTCCGTCACTTTTTGCTCCACCAACTCTTACTCCTCCTTCAGACCTTAACTAAATATTTCCTCAAGGATGCCTCTCCCAACCCCCAATCGAAGTTAGTTCCCCTTCTACTTTAGTACCATAAGCATTTTGTTTATAGCTTTTGATAATTATTGACTGTCAGCTACTAGTCTGTTCTGTGATGGCAGGAACAAAGTTTGCTCTGCCCAGCAGATAGCAGGTGCTCAGTATTGAATGAATAATTGAGGTCAAGGAATCCAGATAATAAATTGGGCTTTGAAGCATATATTGGAACCTACAGGCAAAGGGGGAGGGCATGGAGGGGGCGCAGATTTGGGCATTTGTCGGGCTGGGGCTGTCTGAACAGGGCGATGTGTTTGGGGAGCTCTCCAAGCAGTTCTATAAGTAAAGCATCAGGTGAGGGTTATGTTACGTCAAAAGAATTCCAGAGAATGGATCGTTTGCAGATTAGAATTGAAATTTGTCGTTGATTCATAGTAACTTTAGTTTTTTTGTTTTTGTTTTGTTTTGTTTTAATCCGAATTTCCTGGAAGAATTTTTTTTTTTTTTTAATTGGGGAACTGGAGGGATAGGAACAGTGCTGGGGGATTGGGGGAAGGAGAACAGATAAGTTGCTGTCATTTTTTGTTCTTCAGTCTAGCCGTGGAGGACGCTGCCCCACTGGCCCAAGTTGGCACCATCATTGCGCTCTCCCCGGGCGAGG